CTGCAGGAGCTCTCTCTGCTCTTCAGGACTGTTTTGAGCACACTGACTGGGACATGTTCAGGGAGGCTGCAACAAATGGCGACCACACCAACTTGGAGGCATACACATCATCTGTGACCAGCTACATCAGCAAGTCCATCAATGATGTCAGTGTCTCCAAAACTATTATAATACACTACAATCAGAAACCGTGGATAACTGCAGAAGTGCGTGAGCTGCTAAGGACTTGAGACTCCACCTTTAGAGGAGGTGACAAGAGGGCCCTGGGAACAGCGAGGGCCAAACTGGGTTGAGTCACCAGAGCAACAAAGTGCATGGATGGCAGAAGAATCCACAGCCACTTCCAGGACAGTGGCGACATGCAGTGCATGTAGCAGGGCATCCAGGCCATTACCAATTACAGGAAGATGAGACCTGCCTGTCAGGGTGACCCCTTCTGCTGAACAACTTCTATGCATCACATCATTCTGAGGTTCAACGCTCAGAATGACGTGTTGGTGAGGAAGTCTACCAAGAGACAACCTCTCCCTGAGCACTGCTTCCATCCCAACGTGCCTCAAGGCCACCACCATCATCCCCGTGGTGTCCTGTCCAGTCCTCAGTGTCCTGCATCAATGACTACCATCCCATTGCTTTCACACCCATCATGTTGAAGTGTTTTGAGAGGCTCGTCATGAGGCACATTAAGACCCAGCTACAACCCACACTGGATCCACTGTAGTTTGCCTATCGTCCAAACCGGTAAACAGATGATGACGCCATCGCCACCACCCTACATCTTGCCCTCACCCTCCTGGACAATAAAGACATATGTACGAATGTTTTTCATAGACTTCATTTCAGGATTCAACACAATCATTCCTCAACACCTGATTGGAAAACTGAGCTTGCTGGGCCTGAAGACCTCCCTCAACAACTGGATCCTGGACTTTCTGACGGAGAGACCTCAGACAGTCCGGATCGGTAACAGCATCTCCAACACCACCACAATGAGCACTGGAGCCCCTGTTTGCTCATCCCACTGCTGTTCACTCTGCTGACTCACGACTGTGCAGCAATGCATCATCAAGTTTTCTATTGATTCGACTGTGTTGTTTCTCATCAGCAAGAACAACAAGTCAGCATACAGAGAAGTGGTGTAGACTCAACAACCTGTCTCTAAACTTTGACAAAACAAAAGAGATGATTGTTGACTTCAGGAAAGCATGGAGCGATCACTGTCCACTTAACATCGATGGATCCTCTGTGGAGGTCATCAAGAGCACCAAATTCCTTGGTGTCCACCTGGCGGAGAACCTCTCCTGGTCCCTAAACACTAGTTCCATAACTAAGAAGGCCCAACAGCATCTGTACTTCCTACAGAAGCTGAGGAAAGCCCATCTCACTCCATCCATTCTCACCACCTTCTACAGAGGGACTATTGAGAGCATCCTGAGTAGCTGCATCACTGTCTGGTATGGTAACTGCACAGCATCGGATTGCAATACCTTACAGCGGACATTGAGGGCAGCTGAGAAGATCATTGGAGCCTCTCTTCCCTCCATCACAGACACTTATTGCACCTGCTGCATCTGCAAAGCCACCAGCATTGTGGAGGACCCCACACACGCCTCACACACACTCCTCACCCTGCTGCCTTCTGGCAAGAGGTACCGGAGCATCCAGGCCCTCACTGCCAGACTGCGAAACAGTTTCATCCCCAAGCCGTCAGACTCCTGAACACTCAGGTACTGGGCTGACACATATGGATACCTTCATACATCAAGTGACTTTTTGCACAATACTCAGTCTTTTGCACATTTCTATTGGAGATTATGTATCGGAATTTCAGGAGCAGGACCATGCCTCCAAACGCTCCTTCCAGCTGTCATCTATATAGGGTTACCTCAGTTCTGCAAGCTGATCATTCTCGTTTACGTGCCCCACCCTCCCTCCCTCCTTGTTCTCCATTCTTTAATTTCTTCACTTCTATTTAGTACATGGGGATCTGCCAGGCCCGGGAGCCATCGGCAGTCCCCTTCGAGGCCTTCCCCAAACCGCAGCTCAATTCATGTCAAAGCATTCACTTTTACCTACTAAAATGCTGTCAAACCTAAAATGAGGACGTGGGCCCAGTTAGTGAATTGCACTGTTGTGTCTGCACTGTCTTGTGTCTGTATCGTTCTGTTCTGTCTGGAGTGCCACTGCCTCGTTTTTCTTATGCAGTTTTTGCACATTGCACTTTATGTAGTCGTGTGTTGATTGTCTGTTGTTTGCCATATGTAGCACCATGGTTTTGGAGGAACGTTGTCTCGTTTCACTTTGTACTGTACCACTGCACATGGTTGGAATGACAATAAAGCCACTTGACTTGACTTGGAAGTGATTGAAACACCCGAATTTAATTATTTTTATGTGTGATTTAGCACACATCCACAATGAATGAATGGACTTGTGTATGGATGGATGGATTGATGTTATTTTGTATGAAACTGCCTATTAGATGTAAATACATAAAGAATTACAAATACAAGTGTGTTTCTTTAAAACACACATGCAATGAAGTGTTAGGTCATTTGGGGAACTGGTTGCACAATATCTCTTTATCATCCCTATGTAAATTATTGGAAATTAGCATATGCTGAGTTAAAACAGTGGGGCAAAAAAGTATTTAGTCAGCCACCGATTGTGCAAGTTCCCCCACTTAAAATGATGACAGAGGTCAGTAATTTGCACCAGAGGTACACTTCAACTGTGAGAGACAGAATGTGAAAAAAAAATCCATGAATCCACATGGTAGGATTTGTAAAGAATTTATTCGTAAATCAGGGTGGAAAATAAGTATTTGGTCAATAACAAAAATACAACTCAATACTTTGTAACATAACCTTTGTTGGCAATAACAGAGGTCAAACGTTTACTATAGGTCTTTACCAGGTTTGCACACACAGTAGCTGGTATTTTGGCCCATTCCTCCATGCAGATCTTCTCGAGAGCAGTGATGTTTTGGGGCTGTCGCCGAGCAACACGGACTTTCAACTCCCGCCACAGATTTTCTATGGGGTTGAGGTCTGGAGACTGGCTAGGCCACTCCAGGACTTTCAAATGCTTCTTACAGAAGACGTTACAGGTCTGTGAGAGCCAGAGATTTTCCTTGTTTGAGGTGACCAAATACTTATTTTCCACCCTGATTTACGAATAAATTCTTTACAAATCCTACCATGTGGATTCATGGATTTTTTTTCACATTCTGTCTCTCACAGTTGAAGTGTACCTCTGGTGCAAATTACTGACCTCTGTCATCATTTTAGGTGGGGGAACGTGCACAATCGGTGGCTGACTAAATACTTTTTTGCCCCACTGTACGTGCCATGCTGTGGTGACTTCTTTCTACACTGATAACAACAACACTTGTTGTGAGTTTGAAGTGTCAGAAGCTCAAAGTTACTAACAAAATTTACTTTAAAATTGGTATTCTTTAATATTTTACAACTAAATTTGGTTTCTATACCTGTTAATCACTTTCTAAACTCTTTTTTTTTTTCCATCAACCCAATGATTATCGTAACCATTTAACTAGGTCAGGATGAGAGGAATGCTGGAGCCTATCCAATATATGATGAGTGTTAGGAGTACCACCTATGCAGGTTGCTAGTCTTTTACAGGGCCACAAAAGTATTTATTTTTTGTATCCTGCAGACTGATGTTGCTACTCAGCATATCAGAAAGCAATTTCACTCTAAAGTCTCTATGCCTATACCCTTTACACACCTCTTTCCCCCCTTACTCATCCTGTCATGTCCATACTATATATGTCAATAAAGTTATTTAAGTAGAAAACATTTCTTGATTCTGAAATTCACTTTTGAATAAACTTTTCAAACATTTCAAGATTAACGTTTGTGATCATTTTCAATGAGCTTGAAAAACAAATACATTTGTAATAATTTTGTGTTGTAAAAAATTATGTATCCTATGAAAATACTAGGCTTGTGGTTTGGTTTATGGCAATGGAGTATAATGGACTGGTGCAGATCAGGTTGTGATGTCTGTCTTCATTGTTAGGTTAAATCCAGATTTGTCAATTTAAAATTAAAGCACCATCCACCTAAACAGGCTTTAAAGTGGGCTTGGAAAACAGGCCTAGTAGCCCATGTAAGATCTGCTTCTAACTTGCTAAATGCAGTTGGCTTAATCCTCAAAGAGCAATAAACCTCAGAGTAGGAGCAGCAAAAAGTCATCTAACACGGGCGACCGTGGCTCAGGGGGTTGGGAATCGCATCTGTAACCGGAAGGTCGCCGGTTCGATCCCTGGGCTCTCTGTCCTGGTCGTTGTGTCCCTGGGCAAGACACTTTACCCTACTTGCCTACTGGTGTTGGCCAGAGGGGCCGATGGCGCGATATGGCAGCCTCGCTTCTGTCAGTCTGCCCCAGGGCAGCTGTGGCTACAACTGTAGCTTGCCTCCACCAGTGTTGAATGTGAGAGTGAATGAATAGTGGTATTGTAAAGCGCTTTGGGTGCCTTGAAAAGCGCTATATAAATCCAATCCATTATTATTAATTACTACATGTAGAGAAAGGACAAATCTACAGTCATTACCAATAAAAATTACTGTATGGCATGTTTTTAAGTGATTCTTTCCTCTTTGCTGCAGTACCATACATTATCCAAAACCTAACACAGTGCACTCACAATATAGTTAAAACTATAGTTTGTCAATAAATGGGATATTGAAAAAAATTACAAGGAATAGTAGAATATTCTTAGTAATTTCTAAGTTTACTGAGAAACTCATAGCCTTTCCTTCCACTACTTCACAATTCAGCCCATCCCTTGTTCTCTGTTGAATTCCTTTAATGTGGTGTTGGAGCAGTGGAAAGTGGTTTGTTTGCAGTAATTTTTTACAACACTTTCACCAGGATTGTTGCCACAGACAACACATGTAGATGCATATGTCAGACGTTGGCGCATAACTTCAATCATCACTATAGTACCTCATTCACTGATAGTAACACAGTTATTGAGCTAACTTTACGATTGTCACCTTATTTTGCAAAAAGATTTTAATACAAGACACAGAAGACGTTTTGTCATGCTATAAGCAAAATTTATTTAGCAACTGACATATGACCAAATGGAAAGCATCAAAATTTCTTCAGCAGTAAATTCAAGTTAAGCATATTTTCAAAAATGGTTGGAATTTTTTTCCAGCGCTTGTTTTGTTATGTTAAGATAAAGAGCATTTCTCTTCACACGCACATATCTTCAGTGAAGTCTTATGTCTAGTCAAATTCCCGTTGACGCAGCTGTTTGTAATTCTGTAAATCAGCCTTCATGGACTTTACCAACTCTTTGGCTTTTTCTTTTCCCGTAAACCTAGCAAAGGGGAAATAGGTTCCACATCAAAAGATACACACACACACATAAAGATTATTTAATGCCACAAGGTTTTTTTTAGATTCAAATATTTTGTGATTTTAGCATTTTGTAAAATAATAGCAATTTTCTTACCCCTGGGCAAAGCCTCCAACTAAATTAAAAAAAAGAAGACAAATTAGTCAACAGTCAACAACATTCTGTTATAGACTTTGTAATAAAGGGTAGACAGCTTTCCTGTTATCTCGTTGTGCCAGATTCCCAAAAAACAAACAAAAAAACAGCAATCAAATAAACCAATAGTACCTCCTTTTAAAAGTTTGTCCCAAAAACACTCTCCTGGTTCAGCTATCATGAAAACCATGAATAACACAAGAAAGATCACAGCAGACTTCATCCTACAAAGAAAAACATATATAA